TGGCCAGATGTCACAGAGCTGGTGGGGAGGTGGCACTTTAATGGGACAGTGCACTCTAGGGTCTGTCCTCTGCTCTGCTGGTTGAGAAACTTGCTTGCATCAGCACAGCCAGAGCCAACTGTCACATAGGGCTGAGGCGTCGTGATACAATTCCCAGTAATATCCACCATACAGACATACTATTCAGTAGTAGCAATACCATACATACCAGCCGGGCTGTCTGGCAACCTAGACAGGTCTAGACGTTGCTAAGGAATTTTGTCCAGGCCATGATGAGACCTAGCCTACTACTGAGGACAGGGACTCCAAGGATGCCTCTTCTCTGCTAGAGCCCATGTCTGTATCCCACACCAAAGCCAAATTCTCACCTCGTGGGCTATCCTTAATTTTTCTTTTTAAAAATTTTTTTAAATTTAGAGGCAGGGTCTCCCTATGTTGCGCAGGCTGGTCTCAAACTCCTGGCCTCAAGCGATCCTCCCGCCTCAGCCTCCCAAAGTGCCGGGATTACTGGTGTGAGACCCTGCACCCAGCCAACTCAGTCTTTCTTCATGTGATGAAGGTCGTACACTGATGCAGCTCTGGCTTCCCGGCTGCAGTGGCAGCCCGATTACCTGATGGGACTTGGGTCCACATCTCCCAAACTGACACCTCTGAAAACATTTGCTCTCAGGAAGTGGCTCACCAACTCACCTGTTCTGGGAGGTTCTTTTTGTTGTTCCCAGAGTTACCCTATTCCCTGATTTGGGCTCCCTTTGTCCTGCTGTAATATTAATGATAGCAGCTTCTATAATATTGATAATGCCAACACTGAGCATGTGTAAGCACAGATGTCCCACCTGATATCCAGCCAGAGTGCACGTGTAGAGCAGCACTGGTTGGTCAGCACACGTAACACATAACTTCTTTTGTCAAACGCTGTTTTTTGGGTCTTTTCTTTGAGACAGGGTCTTGTTTTGTTGCCCAGGCTAGAGTGCAGTGGTGTCATCACAGCTCACTGCAACCTCCAACTCCAGGGCTCAAGCCATCTTCCTGCCTCAGTCTCTGAGTATCTGGGACTACAGGTGTGTGCCACCACACCTGGCTAATTTTTGTACTTTTGTTTTGAGATAGGGTCTTGCTGTGTTGCTCAGGCTAATGCTGTATTTTCAAAGTTACCAGAAAACTTACTATATCCAAACTTTGCATAGATTGTTTAATGAAATCTTTACAAGCATCCTGGGGAGGTACCGTCATTCTCATTTTTTTTTTTTTTTTGAGACAGAGTCTCGCTTTGTTGCCCAGGCTAGAGTGAGTGCCGTGGCGTCAGCCTAGCTCACACCAACCTCAAACTCCTGGGCTCAAGCAATCCTCCTGCCTCAGCCTCCCGAGTAGCTGAGACTACAGGCATGCATCACCATGCCCGGCTAATTTTTTCTATATATAGAAAGAAATTAATTGGCCAACTAATATTTATAGTAGAGAAGGGCTCTCACTCTTGCTCAGGCTAGTTTCGAACTCCTGACCTCGAGCAATCCACCCGCCTTGGCCTCCCAGAGTGCTAGGATTTGTCATTCTCATTTTACAGGTGAAAAAGAGGCAAAGGTAAGTTAAGGAACTCATCTGAGTGGGAGAACTGAGCCTGGAACTCGGGTCTGTCTGACCCTGAGACCATTTTCTCAGCCACTACCCTGTCCCCGTGAGCGCCCTGGACTGCGGCAGCCTCTGCTTATGAAAGTCTCAAGATCTAAAGCTCAACCTCTTAGTGAGAGACAGCAAGGGCAGCTACTCTCCCAGACTACTGGAGCCCCAGTTCCTTCATGGAACACTCCCAGTTTGGAAGCCAGGTCTGTAACCAAAGCTCTTGGGAACCAGACTGATTCTTTGCCACCTGTGCCAGGAGCAGATCCAATCAGCTGTGCCAGGGGCTGGGGCCATTTGGTTTGGTCAGCAAACATGCCTGGAACCTCTGCCATGTGCCAGGCATGACTCCAGGGCAGGCAAGACTCAGTCCCTGCCTTTGGAGCCCTAGAAACTTCTCGTCCCTTCCTGGCCTCAGATGTCCCTGCTCACAGAAGTCAGCTGCAGGCCTTGTCTTTATTGGGTGTCCCTACTCTGTCCCTGAAGTTCTTGCCCTCTAGGCTGATGACTGCCCTGTTGATGGCCAGGGAGCAAGTCCACACTTACAAGATGCAGCTGACAGCTCAGGGCTGAGGCTGTCTGTTCTTGCACCTCTCATTGGCCAGGAAACTGCTGGATGGCACTGCTGCTGCCCAGGCCCCAGGCCCCTGGAGATGAGCAAGAACTGAGGGCGGGGAGCAGGGGAAGGAGGGCCCTATGGGCTTCAGCAGGACCTCTGGGCCCAAAACACCTAGCCCTTGGCCCCAAGCCCATCCTACCCTCTCTAGACCTCCTTGGGCCAGTGCTGGGACACGGGAAGGTGTGTCCAACATCAGAGGTGGGAAGGGAGTTGAGGTTAATGGAGTCCATGTACCTCCTCCATGGGGACATGCACAGCCCTTTAAATACCCCTCAGCAAAAGGCCACCTACCCTAAGCCTGCAGCCCACTTGCCTCTCCTCCTCAGAGCCCTCTTGTCACTGGTCCTGGTGGTGTCTGAGAGGGACCTCTTCCTTTCTGCCCACTCTCCATCCCACCGTGTATATTTCCCAAATTGTAGCTTCCTGGGCTGGAGCTAGCAGCTGCCAGTGAGATGGTCCCAGACTCTGGCTGTCCCACCACATCCCTCCCTCTGCACCACTTTCTGGATCCTGTGTGGCCCCCAGGAGCCACAGCCTCTCTGAAGACCCCTCCCTTGCTTCCCCAGTAGAAGGTGACCGCAGAACCTCTCAGCTTCCTGCATGGGGAAGGGGAAATGAGGTGGATGGGGAGGTGGACAGCCTCTGCTGCTCCTAGGTATGCCTTACCTACATGACTGGCCCCTCCTGGACAATGGGCATGTGCGCAGGTGAAGATACCAGGACAGGCTGGGGCACATTATGTAGAAGTCCTGTGACACTTTGCTTGGAGGGATGATGGTGTCTGAGTGGGATCACTGACTACCAGGGGCTGCTGGGAAGTCTGCTGGACCACAGGCAGCAAGAGTCCCCCAGCGGGAGGACACCATCCTCTGGCCCCTCCTTACAGCACAGCCCCTAGCAATAGAGGCCTTTTGCCAGCTCTTCTGTGGTGGGCCGCACCAGCCACCCCCATCTATGCCTTCCTCATTCCCCAGACCTGCTGCCAACGACATCAGGGAGCCAAAAGGCCAGCCACCGCACCCTCGCTCTTGTCCCTGGAGATGCTGTGGGATTTGGATTGGCAACCTGGGCAGGGGCCTGGTCCTTCTTCCTTTCCCCTAGGCTGGCCTTTGGGAAGGCAGCTGGAAGGCCAGCTTTTCTGAAGTTGCTGGCCAGAAGCTAGGCCCAGCTGGATGGAGTGGTCCAGGCTGGTGACATCCTTGAGATCAGGGCATCTTCCTGAGGAATGTCCACAGGGGGCAGGTAGGAGCACCATAGGGGTGAGGGAAGGAAGAGGTTATGACGGCCCAGGCAAGGTCCAGCCAGCCCAGCTGCAGTGGGGCTGAGGGAAGTGGGCTGATTTCTTTGGCAAGGTGATGGAAATGCTCCCACCCCAAGGGATGGGGAGACAGGGGTGGGCCCAGGACGCCAGGGTGGAGGCTGAAGGCTCTCATGCCCAGTGGACCACAGCACCCCCAGTAAGACAAGAGCTGTAGAAGGGTTTGTAAACACTGTCCACCTGGCCCTTCTCTGGCTGGGCAGGCTAGATTGGCCATAGGCCTGAGGCTCTGAATCTGAACACAGGCTGGGGACATTTGCAGACAGCTGATCATGTTGTACCGTATTCCTCCTCTGCTGCCCTACCTGAAGGTGATCCAGGAGAGAGGACCTGCTTTCCAACTGCTGCACACACCCCAGCCCTGCCACCAGACAGGAGGCAGTATTTGCAAGGAGCCAGGTAGGAAGAGCTGCAGCAGGGACCACTGTTGGGGAGAGATGAGGAATGATTCAATAAATATAAATGAGTGGGAAACTGTACTTTTCCAGTCTAGCCAGTCAACTCAGGGCATTTCCCTATACATTGAGACATTGCCCAGGTGGCAGCAGAGTTCCCTGGTTGGGGGAAAGTAGCACAGTGGGGAGGTCTGGCTAGCAGTTAAGGGGTATTTCTCGCTGGCCTCTCTTGGGCCTGTTCTCCTTCCCTCTAGTCCGGACCAGTGTGGCAGGTCAGGTAAGTTGGGGAGGGCTGAAAAGTACCAGAGGTCCTTCTGGCTCCCGTAAATTCTGAATCAAGCCCTCCCCCTTGTCCTGGACGGCCTAGCCAGCGCCCTTAGGAAGAGCTGGAAGGCCAGGTGCTCATTCAGAAGTTGCAGGCAGGCCAGAAGCTGGGTCATCCCTCCACACTTGTTTCCCATCTTTCTGTTCACTCCCCCACGCACCCCTCCCGTTAGAGTTACACTTAACTTTGGACTCCTAGGCCTGTTCCTGGGTAAAATATCCTTATTTAAGGAACAAAACCAATTCTTATTTGCAAAATTGAAGGTAGAATTAGAAATCTAGCAGGATAAGCACTTTGGACCCAGCTTCCTTATACAAAAAGATTCATGACATCCCCACCACACATCACATACAATTTGCCAATCAGGACAGTTGACAGTAAACAGAGGCACAACATATACATATAATTAAACAGGTCTTACATTACCCAGGCTGGAGTGCAGGGGCTATTCACAGTGCACTGCCAGTCTGGAACTCCTGGCCTCGTGATCCTCCCACCTTAGCTGGGTCTACAGGTGTGAGCCTCTGCACCTGGCTAATTGGCACTAGAATACACCAGTTCCACAGGCATAAACCAGCACTGTGCTGAGCAGTGACTTATCTTAATAGGAACTTATTACTGAATGTGCTCCCCCCTTAGCCAAGTCAGTAGGCAATGTTTTCCATACACTTCCCCAATTTTGTTCAAAAAGACATCATTCAAATAAAAACCATTAACAAGAAAGTCTCAACTTCAAAAACTTTATTTTTGTCTCATCCATCAAGGGCACAGGATGCCTTCACCAGCTCCAACTTTTACTTTTCTCCTTACAGACTCTGCTCCATTGCCCTTACCCCAAGGATATCCTGTATGGGCAGCTTCCTAGAACCAAAAAATATTTTGCCTTCTGGGTTAAGTGTGCTCCAAGTGTGGAAGTGCAAGTTACACTATTTAAGCAGCAGATTCCAAGCTGCCCAATAAAATCCAAGAACCTTCTACATGTCAGGATATAGGCTGGGTGAGAAGGTTCACTAGCGACACTCACTTGGGTTATCACAGGTACTAAGCAAGTTATCACCACAGCTGTTTGTTTTCAGACACTGCGAAGCACAGCACATTCCACTGTCTAGGATGTCATTCAGAAGCACACCATGAGGAAATTGTGAGAATTGGCGTGCTTGTTACAGATCTGGTTATAATGGCCCACCTAGAAAACAGGTTCATTGTGTTGTATTGGATTCTTTGACATCTACATCTTCTATACAGAAGACTGCCTCAAGTTACCAAGACAGCTACACTCTCTAGCCTCTCCTAGGCCCCTTAAATTTCAAACTAGTCCAGCTTTGCTTTAAAAAACGTTAATAGGCCAAGGTTTTCTTTCTACAGAGCTACTGGCTTCAAACATATGCTTTAATGACTGGTGGCTCTTATGGCCATGTCTTGCTGACATTTATACAATATGCTTTACTAGGTGGCCATCACTACTCAAGAAAACTGGTTTCACACTGAAAAGGTGGCTTAGACCAACAATGAATTCTGCATCTGTGAGACTGTGCACCATGGGGTGGGGGGAGAGCAGAAAAGCATATTAATATATCTTAGGCCCACACTGCAAATATGGCAATATCATGGCATTTTTTAAAGCAAAGGGTTGTTTACATGCTTTCTATAATTACCTTAGTAAATAAAAGGTTTTTGTCTACCAAGCAAAACCTGAATGAAATCTAAGCTCAAACACTAGGACACAAAGAACCTAAAGGATTGTATTAAAGTTTTGTATATTCAATTTAGGTTTTTGACACTTAGTTGGATAAACAAGTTTATTTATAAATTTAGTCAACATACATAATTGACCTAAAAACTTCAATAGAAGGGCAAATTTTAAAACCACTTGGAAGGCCATCTCTAAGCGGTTTTCCCAGGACAGTAACCAGATGTAACCTAACTAACCCAATACCATCTTAATAGCAGAGGTTCAATGAGCTGGAGCTGTGTGCTCCCCTTCCCCTACAGCAAGTTTACACTAAGGGTTGTAATACAAACTCCACAAGGAAAAGAACTTAGAAATCGTCTCCTCTTAGAGGAGCAAAACTCAACCTAGTTATGCGAGACCAACCACAACACAATGAAAAGCTGCACTAACTAGTTCTTCAGAATATTAATAACAGATGATGCTGATGTGAATAACTCGTATTTTATTCTAGAGCCCTTATAAATAAAAATCCCCCAGTTAGTGTTTGCATTATCAGCTAGAGGGTTAGTTAACATGTGGTAGAATGAGGACTTAAGCAAGGTATAATGCGCATAGCATCGTACTACTATGAAAACAAGTGCAGTCAAGTTAGGAGAAAACCAACTGGACTCTATATTACACACACCTTAATGACAGACTCCCCACCACTTGTGAATGTAAAACATTTAATTTAAAAATGTTGACACTACAATATATAAAATAGCTATTATAAATGCACATAGTGTATTCTATAGCTGCCAGGTTTACTTTTTTTTTTTTTTTTTTTTTAGGAAACTGTAAGTTACACTGTGGTTAAGACTTGTATCTTCACCCTTGAAAAAGCCCACATTCTATCACAGTGATGTATGGTCAGACTTAACAGCCCCAATTGTTAAACACTTGGATCAAGTCATAACCAGTTTTATTGCAAAAGGACCCTGTACACATTTATTTATCAATTCTAGTACCTTAATAGCTACCCAACAAGTCATTAACATACAGAAACATGCATCATGAGAAGCAAGAAATATCACCCATCCCTTCTGCATATTAGCAACTTGTCACTCCTGAGCAACAGTGCTCACATCACTGAGGTCTGTGAACAGTCACTTTTCGCATTCATCCTGAGTGAAAGATGGAATGACTTAAGTACAAATGCAACATATTATAAACAATTTCTTACAAAAAAAGTCACAAATTAAACCAAAGTATTTTACAGAATTTACTACAAAACGCCATAAAAACTGCCTTCACTTAAGCTCTCTCCCCCCGTATCCGGCGAGCCAACTGGATGTCTTTGGGCATGATGGTGACTCTCTTAGCGTGGATGGCACACAGATTAGTATCTTCAAACAAACCCACCAGGTACGCTTCACTAGCCTCCTGTTGAGGACAAGAGTCACACCATTAAACTCCCCTTGAGCGGAGAAGCCCACAAGCCCTCCCGCCCGCGCTCCCGCCTTTGTGTTCCTACCTGAAGCGCGCCAATGGCCGCGCTCTGAAACCTCAAGTCGGTTTTGAAATCCTGGGCGATCTCCCTCACCAACCTCTGGAAAGGCAGCTTCCGGATGAGCAGCTCAGTCGACTTCTGGTAACGACGAATCTCTCGAAGCGCCACGGTGCCGGGCCTGGAGCGGGCAGAGGGGAGCGTGAGCCGGCGGCCAGGCCGGCGCGGCGCGAGGTGCGCGCTACCGCACAAAGCCACCCGCGGCGAGCCATTGTCCCCTTGGGCTGCGCCTACCTGTAGCGATGAGGCTTCTTCACCCCGCCGGTAGAGGGGGCGCTCTTCCGGGCAGCTTTGGTGGCCAGCTGTTTGCGGGGGGCTTTCCCACCAGTGGATTTACGAGCAGTCTGCTTGGTTCGAGCCATTTTCTTTTACCTGAGGAGGACACCCCCGAAGCTAAAGCCGAGCGGCACCGCTCTGGGCCCCCCCCTCGGCCGCCTCCCGGGGGTGGCGCGTGGGAGACAGCTCCGCGCCGCGAGTGCCGCCCGCCACCGCGCCCCCCGCCCCTCCGCGCCCCGCAACGCCGCGGCAGATGGCCGAGGGCCGCCGCCTCCTCCCCCTCCCCTAATGACTCAGGCTGCGAGCGGAGCAGCCTCCCCCGGGAGGGGGGGCGCGGGGAGGAGTCACTTCCCTCCCTCGACGGGCGGCGGCCCGACTGCCCGGAACCCGGCGTCGGGGCCTCTGAATCATCGCCGGGAAGGAGGCGGCGACGCAGTTCCGGGACGAAGCCCCGAGGGAGAACTTCCCGGCCCCACGCCCGAGGCCAGCGGCCCGGGCGGCCCCAACCACTCGACAATCGGCTCCCAACGGCCGCGACTCGCGGCACCAACGGCCGGCAGAGCTCCAAATCACGGTTAAACCCGCAAACGCTTACCCAACGCCGAAGTCTTAGGCCACTTATCAGACCGCCGCGCCGCTTCTGCCGCCCAAGGAAGAGCCGCAGTCTCGGAGCAAAGAAAAGATGCTCTCCCAACGAACGACCAAACCGCTCTGCGCTCCAAACCCCCCCGACGCCTCCGTTTTTATACCCACGCTTCACGCTGCGTCTCTGCGTCATAGAGCCCTTATTTGCATACACCAACGACTTTTTCGATTGGTGGACGCTTTCGCCGACGCGCTGACATCCCCCGACACAAAGGCCGTGCTTCGGCCCCGTTCCTTGATTGGTGGATATCCAGGCCGCTGATTGGCTGTTAAAGTGGCCTAACGATTGGATGGGTGCAAAGAGGAATGGACGAATCAGAGCTTAGTACTAAGCAGCTCTTCTGATTGGATAAAATGGAGCTATGTTTGGATCCTTCCCTTGGTTCCAAAGCTCTACAATAGAAAGTCAATGCAAATGTATTGCACTGGTCTCTAATCAGGATTTAAGAAAGTCAGCTGGGAAGGAGCCTAAGCTTATTTGTATCAAGCAAATACAATGCAGGAGAGGCTAATTTAAGGAAGTTTTTGTAAATATTTTCCAACGTAAAATAGAATGTGTTCCCTGGATTATTTAGTTTTCATAAGATTTTGATAGTTAAATACGTAGTGTGAGAATTAGAATTCAGTAAATCATGTTATATTATCACGTATTTTGTATATCATGCATGTACATTTTTAACCAAAAAGAAGTTCCTTTGTTTTGTGGGATGATGAGGGGTAAGTAATAGACACAAAGAAGCAACGTCTGCAAGAATAGGGTCTCTGTTTTAAAAAGAAAAGAAACATCAATAAATGATTTTACAAGTACTGTTTTGTATGTTTTAGGCTGTCACAAAATTTTTTATTAATTCAATATGCTTAGAGTTAAACAAGAAGTAGTAACCTACTAAGAAATGTATTTCTTGAATTATGTAATTTAACTGAATGAAATCACTACATCCAGAAAGGAAATAACCCTATTATAGTATTTGTGTGTCCATAAAGAATAAATGAAAGATAACTAAATATGTGACCTTGTGTTGAATAGTAAGTATACCCTGGAAGGTATTACTTCTGCAGGAACATGACAAATGTGTAAAAATTATAATCCCTACCTTTGTCTAAATGTCTTGTATGGACTACAATATTCAGTTCTCCAGATGTTGCAAGTATATAAAATCCCAAAGCAGGCTTAAGGTAAGACCAGCCAAGCAAAAGCCAAAAAATTTAAATGGAGCCTCGGACATTCTACACCACAGTTCTGACTCTTAGTTCAGTGAATATTTTAAATTGTTAAAATAAAAAGCAGAAACAGGTACATACAGATTTCAACTCAGAATTATTGTACATAGGTACAAACACCACAATATTTACTCGCTACACCAAAAGGCCTGTATCAGCATAAATAGTGAGAAAAAATGCACAATTTAAAACAGTAGCTCATTTTTGGCTCAATCTCTGGTACCAAATTCCTCTCATTATTTCAGCCTTCTGAAACTTAACATGCACAATATGTATTTAATCATGATTTATTTAAGCTTTTATGTGATAACCAACTTTCATTTCTGCCTTCTACTCTAAACTTTTGAGGTAGGGAAAAATTATCCTATTTCATTCATGCCATGCTGAAAAGAGAAACTAAGATGGAGGCTAATGCTTTGTTCTCAGAACCAGCTAAGAAACAGGGGACTGTCTAGATGCACATAGGCTGTCAAATGCTGTGGGATTCAACCAAAACATACCTTGTCATCTTTTTTTGATTACTCAAATGGCCTGGAGGAGGAATGCTCCTGAGTTGACCAGCCTTGGTGTTCCACGGTTTTCCTAGGTGATATAGAGCCCTGTCATTTCCATGCCTCTCAGTTATTTTCCTTCCAGTTTTGCTAATTATTAGAGAGAAACTAAAACCACTCCAGGACAAACAAGGTATGGATTTACATTCATTCACTTGAGGATGATTACCGGAAATAGTCTGCCTCTCTTACTTGGTAGTCATACAGGTATGTTTTTCCTTTTCCTAAATTGGGAAAAGCAAGAGAGAAAGGGGGAACAACTGAAAATGTCTATACAATGAAAACAATAGTGAATGTGATGCAGCATGTAGGTTACTGTCTTAGTTCCTGTTCTGTCACCAATTTACTGAGTAACTCTGTGCAAGTTACTTAACTTCTCTGGGCTTCAGTTTCCTTTTTGGTAAATCAAGCAGTTTGGATGATATCATCTCCCACTTCTTCCAATACATACTTACTCTGAAGCTCATGGTATACATCTGTTATTTAAAATCTAGTGCTTTCATGACAATTGGTCTGGGTGAAGAAGAAAAAAAAAAAAAAATCTAGTGCTGATTCTCACTAACGTTGATTCAAAAAACGAAAAAAATAAAATTAAAAAAGTAAAAAAAGATTTAAATAAATAAATAAATAAAATCTAGTGCTGTGAACTGTATTTCTCCCGTCAAATCACACAGATATTTTTTACAAGTAACATATAAACGAATTACTTGGATTTAACCCTAGGATTAAAGCAGTACACTACAACTTTTATTCGTTCTTTTGGAATTTTTCCTTTTCAAACGCCCCTAGTGGCTAAACAATTGGTTTGGCTTGTTTGGCAAATACGTTTCTCCGCTTTGTAAACTGACAATTGGCTTCTGATGGGAAGTAATTCCAAGCTAAATAAAATAAGCAGGTGTCACTCTTACACACTAAACATTTTCCATTAGCCCCACCATCCTTCACCCCTAAGGTTATTTGGAATGTTTCTTCAATGAGACAATCATTAGCTAACATAATCCCATCTAATAAAATGTAAATCAAAAACAATGGATTTGAAATAGATTCCATATGGAAAAGTTAAATGTCAACTGTTTAAATATCTATGAAAAACATTGTAAAGCTCACAGAATCAAATGTCTATGTCTGGGGCAACTGGCTTATTTTATAAACCGAAGAACTTTGGCTTTGGAAGCGAGCAGGGCAAAGACATTTTCCTAAGCAAAAAGACTGACGTCCTAATAAGGAAACTAGCGTGGTTAATAACTTGCATCCCCTACTCAAACCCAGGTCTTTCCTCTGGACACTATTGTGATGGTTCTCAACACCCCTGCAACTTGTCGGTGTACCTCAGAGACTATTCTAGGCGGAGATTAAATTCGTCCTTGGCCCTTAATGTACTGGAAACAAGTTGGTCAGGCCAGGTGTCGAGTAGAGAAGGGACCCAAGTCATGGAGTTCCAGGTTTCGGGGTTGGTAAAGGTAAATTGAAGCGCCTAGGCAAAAGCGCGTGAACAGCACTGTGTAGCGCAGCTCTTCTTTAGCAAAGCTTTCTCAAGCTTACTTCCAGCAGGCTGACTTTCCTTCATGCCTCTCAGCTTAGTCCGGCCGCAGAGATGAAGAGGATGTTGGCGGACTCCAGGTGTCTGCAGTTCAAAGACCCAGAGTTAAGCACTGACGACACAGATTTTTAAGCCTTGCTTGGAGGCACTGCTCCGAGCCGGCGTTAGAACCGTGCCCGAGCTGTACTAAGTATGGAGGCAAGGTAATTATTACACTGTTGGCAGTGAAATTACACTTGGAACTGTTTCGCAGAAGTCATTAGGGCCTCCCTAACTCTGGGGCCCTTCTACTCCAGGAACTCCAATTTCAAGGAAAAGCTCCCCTATGAAACTGAAAACGCGCTGATAAAAAGGAGAACCGCGACTGGACTGCAATTCCCAAAAGCCGTCGCGAGCCGTCAGCATCCGGGACACCGCCTGCAAGGATCCCTGGGTATTGTGGTCCTGTGCTTTGCCAGCAATCCTCTGCCGACGGTAAAATTCCAGCCGAACACAGGACCACAACTCCCAGCAATCCTTGGTGCCGTGTGGGGGGTCTTCACGTTCCCGTGGCGCGGCGCAGGCGCACTGGGCCCTCGGCGCGGACCGCGCAGACTGAATAATAAAAGGGGAGCGGCGAAGAGGCAGGAAGACAGGACCATGTCGAAGGGCCCCGGGCCCGGCGGCTCCGCAGCTTCCTCGGCGCCCCCGGCCGCTACCGCTCAGGTGCTGCAGGCACAGCCCGAGAAACCGCAGCACTACACGTACGTAGAGCCCCCTCCCGCCGCGCGCGCACGCCTGACGTCAGCGGCCAGCGTGAGTCACGCGCGCAGGGAGAGCGCGAGGCGGCCTCTTCCTCCCCCCTTTCCTCCTCCGGCCCGGCCCAGACCGGTTCCAACCTGCTGGGGCCGGTCCCAACTGCCTCCAACTGCCACCAACCTCTGGTCCTGACGTGGGGCGGGAAACTCGGCCCCAGCCGCCGAGTCGGGAAGGCGGGAGCTTGGGATGCGGTGTGCACACTCCTTAGGCCAGGCCTTCGAGGCCTAGTTCTTCCTCGGACCATAAAACCACAGTTCTAGGCACCTTGGGGGCAGCACGAAGTCCAAGACACGACCCAGACGAGTTCCGTAGGGGCCAGCCCTAGAACCACCTATGAAGGATGCTTAGCGTGAAGTCCTGTCAGGAGACTATGCAATGTGCACAGGAGGCTTTTTGTGCCCTAAGGCCTGTAGGTTGTCCACGCAGGGCCACCCGTGCTTGAATTCACTTAAAACAGTCGATTTAGATAAACATTCGAAGACGGAATCATGTTAGTGCGTGCCCATGACCATTCCCCTCGCAGGCTGTGCAGAGCCAGCCTGAGAATCAAGGGACCCCGAGGGTGATGGGGGTCCGACTATGTCCCCCCAGGCCCGGCCGAAATGTGGCATTAGTGGGAGCCCCAGATGTTGACACTGCAAGAGTCCAGCAAGATGGAAAAACCTCTTCCTGGAAATCTTCATGTATCTACGTTTAGGTCGCTGTCTTTATTTCATTTCAAGCCACATTAAGCACTACCTAGAGCTAGGTGCTGTGAAAGAAAGAGGAATAAGAGGAGGTTCCTCCTTGTTATGCAGAATATTGGTTTCCACTTTTTCTGATGCTCTGAGTGCCTCTCAGCCCCGTGGGCTCCTGAGTGATGTGCGTGTGTAGAAGGATCCCCAACTGCTGGAGGTTTTGGAACCTGGGAGGTTGAACAACCCTTAAGTTCAGTGTACCAAGAGCAGGAAGCATCCGTTGGAGTAGAAAGAACTAAAAGTAGACAGGAGGACCTCTTGCTTGTTACAGAGACGTTGGGAAACTTCTAGGACTGGGGCTCATAGGTTATAGGAGGTATATTGGTTTCTTTATGGGATTCTCTGATGTTGGCTGAAATCATTTTAAGCTTCTTGACTGTAGTCTCATTCAGGTTAACTGTAATTTTTCTAATACGGCCATTGCTTTGCTGGTCCTTTCTTCCTGGAGTTCTTTCTGCAGTCCTTCCATTTGTTTTGGTGAGATGGTCTTCACCTCAGAGAATACTGAGGAGTTGAATGATGTGGTCACACAACAGTGTGGTCTGGATTTGCAAATCTGAAAACATGACATAATTGGAACTTCTTTATAACTTTGTTTGCTTGGATTATGGTTTCCAGTAAAATACCAAACACATCTTGAGTAATGAGAGTTTTGTTTTTAGCAGCCTGTATTTTTCTATGTCGTGTTGTCATTGAGTATACTATGGACTCTATTAGAAAGGCTTTCAGATCATTTTGGAATTGACAGATGAAACAAGTAAATGTCAATATCTGAGTCATTGTCCTCTTGATGCTCATTTGTTTAAAATCTGTCTTTCCATTCCCTAAGTACAGAGTACTCAGACTTGGCTCTTGAGGTGTCTTAGAACCTCCTTAAAATCCACAGAAGTAGATGAAATGCCCATACTTGATTATTAGATGATTGGAGATTGTAGGCATTCCTATATCTTTGTTTATACGTGTATGTGTTTTAAAAATCAGAAATAGAGATCAGTTGTCTTCCTTGGTAGGTGTATGGGCATTCAGAAGCTGTGATGATTTGGAAAACTTCATCCCTTTGTCATCCCCCGTCTGAGGTGCAGAGAGTGTGAGGACACATATGATGGTACCAGTACACTTGGCAGCTCTGAATTATTATTTTTTTAAGAAACAGGGCCTGGCTGTATTGCCCAGGCTGGACTCCAACTCCTGGGTTCAAGGGATCCTCCACCTCAGCCTACCAAGTTGTTGCCTTTGGGAGTTAGGGGACAGGAGCATTTTGGTTTTGGTGTTGTGTTTATTTATTTATTTATTTTTGAGAACTCATTCTGTTGCCTGGGCTGATCCTCCCAATTAGCTGGGACTACAGGCGTGTGCCACCATGCCCGTCTAAGTTTTTTATTTTTTGTAGAGATATCTCCTTATGTTGTCCAGGCTGGCTTCCCAAAGTGCTGGGATTACAGGAATGAGCCACTGCACCTGGCCTGGAGCATTTTTATTTTAATTTCAATGTTTGCTATAAAATTTTGAGCTGCCTAGCAATTTTTCATTCTCTCTTGCAGCATGAATTTTCAGTATTGTTTCAATCTGAATATGGCCATATCTATTCCATTGATCTCACTGAATACAGAGATAGACCCCTTTTGAATATTGGTATTTTTTACCTGTCAAACTTTATTATACATTAACTAATTTTTTTTTTTTTTTTTTTTTTTTTGAGACAGAGTCTCACTTTGTTGCCTAGGCTAGAGTGAGTGCCGTGGCAGCAGCCTAGCTCACAGCAACCTCAAACTCCTGGGCTAAAGCAATCCTGCCTCAGCCTCCTGAGTAGCTGGGACTACAGGCATGCACCACCATGCCCAGCTAATTTTTTCTATATATTTTTAGCTGTCCAAGTAATTTTTTTTCTATTTTTAGTAGAGACGGGGTCTTGCTCTTGCTCAGGCTGGTCTCAAACTCCTGAGCTCAAACGATCCACCCGACTCGTCCTCCCAGAGTGCTAGGATTACAGGCGTGAGCCACCATGCCCAGCCTAACTAATTAATTTTGTGTATTTTTATACTTGATGTTATTTGAAATTAGTTGTTGAAAAAAACCAGAGAAATTTGTGCGAAAGTTCTGTCTCATTGATCTTAATGGCAATCTTGGCAAACATGGTTGAATCCACCCAAAGCAAAAATGACCTTCCAGGTTTCCCTTTCTTGCCCTTTATTCTTGTGTCTCAGTGAAAGGCCTTAAAGTTTGAGCCCTCCTTTTCCTAAACCAAGAGGATTATTCATAACAGTTTGAAGGAAAATTATTTTGTTGGTATTTTTTTTTTTTTATAAACTCTTGAATAATCTTGCTTTAAAGGGAAACTTTGGAATAATCCTTTCAGCATACTGGTGTAGCAGGCACTTGTGCTACACTTAAGAATCCAGTCCTGGCCGGGCGCAGTGGCTCATGCACTCTGGGAGGCCGAGGCGGGTGGATTGCTCGAGGTCAGGAGTTCGAAACCAGCCTGAGCAAGAGCAAGACCCCGTCTCTACTATAAATAGAAATAATTAATTGCCAATAATATATATAGAAAAATTAGCCGGGCATGGTGGTGCTTGCCTGTAGTCCCAGCTACTTGGGAGGCTGAGGCAGAAGGATTGCTTGAGCCCAGGAGTTTGAGGTTGCTGTGAGCTAGGCTGACGCCATGGCACTCACTCTAGCCTGGGCAACGAAGTAAGACTCTGTCTCAAAAGAAAGAATCCAGTCCTTTTAGAAAACTGTTATGTCCGAATATCCTCTGTTGTATAGGAGCTCGGAGTATTTGATTAGCATTGAGTAAAATGATTCTGTATATTCATACTCTTCTAATATAAGAACTGTGGGCCGGGCACGGTGGCTCAAGCCTGTAATCCTAGCACTCTGGGAGGCTGAGGCAGGCGGATTGCTCGAGGTCAGGAGTTCAAAACCAGCCTGAGCAAGAGCGAGACCCTGTCTCTACCACAAATAGAAAGAAATTAATTGGCCAACTAATATATAGAGAAAAAATTAGCTGGGCATGGTGGCACATGCCTGTAGTCCCAGCTACTCAGGAGGCTGAGGCAGGAGGATTGCTTGAGCCCAGGAGTTTGAGGTTGCTGTGAGCTAGGCTGACACCATGGCACTCACTCTAGCCTGGGCAATACAGCGAGACTCTGTCTCAAAAAAAAAAAAAAAGAATTGTGTAACCTTCTTTTACTAGGTAATTTGTCTTTTCATTTGACAAAGAATGAATTTCATCCAGCTTTATAATAAGTCTTGTATATTACAAGAGTTTATATAAAAACATTTAAGAATGGAAAGTTTTGTAGCAATTACAACTCAATATGTATCTACAAGTTTAGCTAACTTTTGTCTTTTTACTGTGTAACAACTATATTATTAAAAACGTATAGTTGAGGCAGGGCGTGGTGGCTCACGCCTGTAATCCTAGCACTCTGGGAGGCCGAGGTAGGTGGATTGCTCGAGGTCAGGAGTTCAAAACCAGCCTGAGCGAGACCCTGTCTCTACTAAAAATAGAAAGAAATTAATTGACCAACTAAAAATATATACACAAAAAATTAGCTGGGCGTGGTGGCGCATGCCTGTAGTCCCAGCTACTCGGGAGGCTGAGGCAGTAGGATCGCTTGAGCCCAGGAGATTGAGGTTGCTGTGAGCTAGGCTGATGCCATGGCACTCACTCTAGCCTGGGCAACAAAGTGAAACTCTGTCTCAAAAAAAAAAAAGTACAGTTGAAAGGTCACAAAAAACCACCATCTAAAATATCCACATTTCTGACCTTATTTTTTTGCCCTATAAGAGGAGGTATACCTCAAAGACAGGTCATTTTTGCATTCCTTCAACAGTAGTAATTACAGTTGATTCTCAGACTTCTTAATGCCTTGGTGTTAAAGGAAAATGAAATTCTAGTTTAGTGTTTGTTGAAGTTTTCTGGCCACTGGGTGATGTCTAATAGGTAGACAGAGGATAAATGCTTTAGCCCCATCTATCCAGGCATCATTTTAATTTCAGACTCGTTTCCTGAGCATCATTAAACAAAGATATTGTAGCTGTACTTCCATAGATAACTCTTTTGAAGCAATTTTGTTAGTTGTACATTATATATGTCATGAACTTCACTTGATTGCATTTGATTGTGTTTTGAAAAATCCAAGAAATGAACATGTATTTAAGTCATTATTGCAAGTTGCAATAAAATTGTAAATATATCACTGGAGTGCAACTTACTGCACAACAGAAGTCACTGGAAGTGTTACTAAGCAACCTCAGTGAGAATAAGTTAAATTACCAATAAACATTTCTGGATTTTATTTACTTGTTTATCAAGTAGAACTAATTTCTTGCAGGACAAAAATTAAGGGTTTACTGTGGCCTTGAAGTAAACCCACAAAATCATCATTAATAAGTGTTAAGTGCCCATGCTAAGGGTAGACTCTTAAGCTTTTAACACCTAGTCGATATTTGCTATAATCTAAATTAATAAAACTAAAGTCGAGATTTGCTTAATGGTTAAGTTTTTTTGTTTTAATCCAGCTATGTTAGATACTAAAGAAGGCTTCCCCACAATCCATATGCATCTGCTTTGACTGGTGGTTTCTATCATCCTACAAAGACTGTGACTTATTGGTGAGGGCAGCTGGACAACTCTGAGAGCAACTTAGAGAAATCCATCTTGGGCACATTCTATAAAGGAGCTCCTTCTCTGGAAATAGCACCCCAGATAAGTGCACAAAAGCAAGACACCCTCGTGGACCTACACTTCCTCCCGCTCTCAACACCCTGATGCCTGAAGGTGAGGTCTCCTTCCTGTGTGTCTTAGAAGCCATGAGCACACTTAAGTAATTAGAGCCCTGCAACAGGCTGAGCAACACACATCTGCAGGCTTTCCTGCCAGACCTTTGCCTAAAGGTTATTGTTCTCATTAGGAGAGACTCTAGGTCAGAAGAGTGATGAAAGTAAGGTTGCATTTAAAGCTACATTACTTTAAATAGTGGACTGGTCTAGTGATTATTTTCCCAGACTGGGCAATATTTGCTTAATGATTAAGTTTTTTGTTTTGTTGTTGTTGTTGTTGTGTTTTTTTAATCCAGCTATGCTTGATACTAAAGGAGGTTTTCCCACTATCCATATGCATCTTCTATATTTTGAAATTGCAACTGTGGACAGTTATGGCTAATCCTAGTAGATTGTCTTCCCTTCTTTTAACATCTTGGATGAATTTGGGGCACACTAATGTGTTATGTGAAGATGGATGTGAATGTAAGTTTCTCTGCCATTCTTAGCCAATGTATAAAAATTACGTTAGCCTAATTGCTAAAAATGCCAAGAATTTGGGTTTAGTATCTTCTGGACAATGTAGCTTTCTTGTTTTCTTACCATATAGATGCTCTATAGATTCACCCCAGCCAGTCATCTTAAAAAACCTGCCTGGGCAACAGAGATAACTGTGGAGAAAGTTTGGGTAAAATCAGTGCATGGGATAACAGGTACAGTGTTTATTTTTGGGGTGATGAAATGTTCTGGAATTAGATAGTGATGATGGTTACATAACATGGTGAATATACTAAAAACTACCGAAATGTGTACTTGAAAGTGGTGAGTTTTTATGCTGTCTGAATTATATCTCACCTTTTTTAAAATATTAAAAAAAAGAAAAACAGTGCAAATGAGTCCTTACTACGACAGAGAGGCCTTTGAGCACATGGCCTATTGCCAAGGCTCAGCAGCATCAGTTCAGTATGGGAAAGGCTGCGGTTTGCAAAACAACTTGGTGCCCTTCTCCCAGCTTTCTCAATGGCTTGGTCCCTATGTATCTAATCTATTCTAGGTGAATGCTGCCCCCATGTCATAAGTCTGTGAAAGTGCTTTTGAGATAAGTGTATGCTCAAAAGAAGTTTGAGACTCCTAGTTGTTGGCATTTATACTTTATAGATTATCTCTAACTTGACGGTCATTACAAGGAATAAGCAGATTTTTACCAAAGCCTTTATAAAAGGAATGGTATTTACTTCCTGGGGTGGGTGGGAGGCGGAAGAGAAGATGGCTGTCTTGCTAAAATGTACTAGAGTCCATTCTTCAGGTATTGTGGTGATTGTGTTAAGGTTCACATGGGCATTTCTTTAAGGACAGGCCATGTGTTTTAGGCATTTAAAATGATGTCAATGATTATAGTATATTCAAGTAATCACAACAAACTTTTTATTATATCTTTATAAAATCCCTCAACTTTCACCCCTTTTTTCTTTGCCAGTGTGTAGAATTTGACAGCAGTATCAAGAGCTGAGGAGGAGGAGAAGATGGAAAGGAGTCTAGCAACTTAAAAATCTCATAGCATTCTCTGTGAGGTGACCTTTTTTTCCTGTTGGTGGCTCAATTTATTTAGGAGATAAAGAAGATACTAAGGCCTGTGACAGTATCATCATGTCATATCTGAGCTTATTGAACTGTTTCCTCCCCTTATTCTTTATTTCACAGTTTGCTTTTCATGTTCATAAGTTGACTCATTTGTTTCCTGTTAGCATTTGAAACACCATATGGCCACCATAAGTCCTAACAAAATGACTTCTGACGAGGAGTGGGAAGGTCCGTGTCCCACCTTCCTATAAAATTTTGGCCTATTCATAAAACTACCCCCACTGAAGAGAGGTAGTTAGTTATGTTCTGTAAAGAAGAGGGTTGATTAAAACTTTTAGCATGATGTCTTATGACTTAAAAGATTTGAGTAGTAGTTTCTTTTTCCTTTTTCTCTTTTTTTTATTATTATGTTCATCTAGATGCAAAGTTTCTGTATCTAAGCTTTTATTAATTTTGGTAAGAACTTTTCTATATCTTTTTTATGTCACTTTTATTGTTAAGAGGTGCCAAGCATTTGGTGGCCTGCCACTTTAGGATTTATGTAAATCAGACCTATCTAAATATAAATTAGAGACTTATATTTCCTAATTATAAAGTAACATATATTACTATCCAAGTAAGAGTACTTTATAATGAATACATAAAATGTATATTAAATAACTAGTAGAGCATGTTAGAGTTAACATTTCTGTTTTTATTTTGGTACCTTATTTTAGTACCTTATCTTATGGTATTGTAATCATAGCCTGTCAAAAACTCTCTCTGGCACATTCTGAACAGCTTCTAGAGAGTCACTGGTGCTTATTTGCTACTACTCTTGTTTTCCCTTTATCTCAATTAAGAAAAGCTTAGTTAATAGGCAGCATGATGGTTAAGTGTACTGACTCCAGGGTCATACTACCTGGGTTTAAGGCCCAGCTTGGCCACTTACTAGTTGTGGGACCTTAGGCAAGTGACTTGCCTCTTTGTGTATCAGTTTCCTGAGACTAGCAATAGTACCTGTCTCACAGGGTTGTTATGAGGATTAAATAAGTTAACGTGTGTAAACTGCTTAAAGCAGTACCTGGCACTTAGTACAGTGTAAGTACTGTTCTTACCAATATTTGAGCAAGGCCCCAAGCCACTGCTTTCAGTTGCATTGCTACCTCCCTCAACAGCCTTAATCCAAATGCCTTCTTAGCTGCACCCATACTAAAATAGATTCTTCACTTCATAGGGTATGTGTGGGTCGGTGTTGCCTTCAGAGGACCCTCTTCTCTTCCACATCCACTCAGATCTTACTTTAGTATCCAGTCTTTGTAGAGCCTTTACCTAATTGCTGGAATCATACATGATGGATGTATATTCTAAACTGACCCACTGGTCGGGCGTGGTGGTTCACGTCTGTAATCCTAGCACTCTGGGAGGCAGAGGTGGGAAGATCACTTGAGGTCAGGAGTTCAAGACCAGCCTCAGCAAGAGTGAGACCCCCCCCCCCATCTCTACTGAAAAAAGAAAGAAATGAGCTGGGCAACTAAAAATAGAAAATAACCAGACGTGTGGTGCACACCTGTAGTCCCAGCTACTCGGGAGGCTGAGGCAGGAGGATCGCTTGAGCCTAGGAGTTTGAGGTTGCCATGAGCTAGGCTGACACCATAGCACTTTAGCCTGGGCAACAGAGTGAGACTCTGTCTCAAAAAATAAATGAATAAACTGACCCGCTCTTATAGGGCCAAATACTTTGTTATACAGAAAGCAGTGTGCAAAATAACATATTAATTTAAATATACATACTAACATTCCAAAAATTGGAGGCTTTTCAGGCCACCTACATACAGAAAAACTTTGAATAAAGTCAAAGTATTCTCTAATTTGGGGAAGAATGAACCAGGGTTTTTAGTACTCCTCACATAATCCGCAGCATCAGTGACGTGAGTGACCCTCACATGAATTTTGTCTCCTTATTTGTCTCTAGCTTGCCAGAAGAAGCTCTAGGCTTCTTCTATCCATAGCTTCTATCCAAGGCTTCTTCTATCTAGGCTTCTTCTGGCAAGGAGACAATTAAGGCACCAGGGACACCCAGGATTAGTTGTATACCAATGTACCCTTTATGGCTCTTATTAGTTCTTAGGACCAGGATAGCTCACAGGTGAGCCCCAGTGAGTCCCGGTGAAAAGTGGGCTAAAATATTAATAATTGTCAGTGAGAGGCTTCTCCGCTTTAAAGCACTAACTTGCTTGAGTGCCTGTAGCATTTGTATGTGGGTTCCTGTGTATGTCTGTGCAATAGGATAGTTTCATTCTATCTAGGGGCTTCATTGTATTTACTCCTTGGCTAAAGGTTCATACCTCAGAAATTCACTAGACACTTACTTTATTTGCCTAAATAATACTCTCTGAGTTTGCTTTTTCTACCAGAGAGAATATTCTAAATCAGGATCATTTCAGAAGATTTGGAAGCCAAGATTTGGAAGTGCTGTATCAGACTCATCTAAATATTTACTCATCACCAATTATAGCTTTATTTGGCCTTGTTTTTTTTATTATTATTTTTCTTTCAGTCATACTTAAGTTTGTGAGATCTGAATGGCCTTGTTTTTTTAAAAGCCATTTTTTATATTTTTTCTTTTTTTTTCACAGAATAAAACATTCTGAGTAAAAGCCATTTTTTAGTAACCCCCATTGGTGTGATTATTGTTACAAAGTTGTATGGTTTCTGGGTCTTGTTTGGTGTTATACAGAACATGTATGTATGTCCTTGTAAATACTGAACGTAGGACTGCTAGTAGTTTACCTAACAGCTTTTCAAAAATAAGGGAAGATTTTCAGCAGCTTATAAGAAATATATACATACTTGGATAAATAATTTAGAATTCTAATCTACTTATATGCTCTTATAATATCTCTTTGAAATTAAAAAATATTTTATTCTTGGCAGGGCACGGTGGCTCATGCCTGTAATCCCAGCACTTTGGGAGGTCAAAGTGGGAGGCTTGAGTCAGAGACTACCCCAAGCAAGAGTGAGACCCCATCTCACTCTTTCACTTTCTATACCCTGTTTCTATAGAAAAATTAGCCAGGCATGGTGGTGCATACTCCCAGCTACTTGGGAGGCTGAGGCAGGAGGATGCTTGAGCACAGGAGTTTGAGGCTGTAGTGAGCTATGATGATGCCACTGCACTCTAGCCTGGGTGACAGAGTGAGACCCTGTCTCAAAAAAACAAAACAAAAATATTCTCAAACTTAAAGTGAAGAATCGTTGATAAGCCATGAACTATGAGCTCTGTGACTAAATTTTGTTTTAGAAGATATCCATGGGGAAGAAAATAAGTAGCTGGTAGGGTCAATATTAATATGGAAAACAGTAGATTACTGATAAATATAATTTGAGCAATTGGCTACTACAGTATAATCTTCAACAATGACTGGGTTTGTTTACTTTTTTTTTTCTTTTCCTTTGGTGTTAGTTGCACAATCCTATCTTATGGTTAAATTTCAGAAAATAATGTTTAAGCAGAAAAAAATTAAAAGAGAAAAAAGAATGTTTAAGATTAGGGTCATTTCTCAGCGGGTTTGGTAGCTGCCTGTAATCCTAGCACTCCGGGAGGCCAAGGTGGGCAGATCACTCAAGGTCAGGAATTCGAACCAGCAAGAGCAAGACCCCGTCTCTAAAAATAGAAATAAATTAATTGGTTAACTAAAAATATAGAAAAAATTAGCCAGGCATGGCGGCGCATGCCTGTAGTCCCAGCTATTCAGGAGGCTGAGACAGAAGGATTGCTTGAGCCCAGGAGTTTGAGGATGCTCTGAGCTAGGCTGATGCCATGGCACTCTAGCTCAGGCAACAGAGTGAGACTCTGCCTCAAAAAAAAAAAAGAAAAAAGATTAGAGCCATTTCTTGCATTTTAACATTCCTTTTCCACGTTAAAGTTTGCATATATTTGTAGAAAAAGATGAAATTCAGTTTTATAAGACTATCTGTAATAAAGATGGACACTGGTGGTTTATTAAGGATACAGGCAAATCTGTCAAGTTGGCATGACTGCTAGCTGCTGCACAAGTCTCGTGAGAAGAGACTGTTGACTGGCCCGGGAAAGCAGCAGGCTCCTCGGTAGCAGGTGCTTCCTCACTGACCCCTCCAGCTTAAAACTCATGGCCTACGTCCTCCAGGCGAAGGGCATCCGGAGGGAGATGATTCTGTTGTTTCAGTCTGTGGCCCCTTTTGTTGGGCTCCAATCTTGCTGTTCACTGTGCGTTTGGGGATTCTCCAAGTGCTGTGCAGCTCCAGTGTTGCATTACCGTCTCTCTCCGTTGGTTTGTTGCAGTCCTCCAGAGGCCATCATTGCCTTGCCTGTTTGCCTCTATTCAAATCGATGGATGTGTCCAAATCAGATTTTACAGATCATAGACAGGACAACATTCAGACAGTCATTCACTTTACAAGAAGATGTACCACACAGTTTACTTTTTTTTTTTTGAGACAGTCTCACTTTGTTACCCAGGCTAGAGTGAGTGCCATGGTGTCAGCCTAGCTCACAGCAACCTCAGAAAGAAATTAAGCTGGACAACTAAAATGTAGACACAAGGCATGGTGGCACATGCTGGTAGTCCAGCTACTGGGAGGCTGAGGCAGAAGGAGCTTGAGCCAGGAGTCTGAGATTGCTGTGAGCTTAGGCTGATGCCACAGCATCTAGCCAGGCAACAGAGCGAGACTCTGTCTCAAAAAAAAAAAAAAAAAGTAAAAACTGAGGCCAGGCACAGTGGCTCATGCCTGTATCAGGGGTTTGGGAAGCCGAGCAAGAGGACCGCTTGGAGGCCAGGAGTTTGAGAACAGCCCAGGCATATACAGTGAAACCCATCTACAAAATAAGAAAAATTAGCCAGGCATGGTAGGGCACACCTGTAGTCCTAGTTACTTGGAAGGCTGAGATGGCAGATTGCTTAGGCGTAAGATTTGGAGGCTACAGTGAGTTAAGATTGCACCAATGCACTCAAGACGGGGGAAGAAAGTGAGACCGTGCTTCTAAAAACTAGAAAAAATAAAAAAAAATAAAACCATTCTTAGCTCATGGCTACACACAAGCAGGCAGGAGGCTGGATCTGGCATGCAAGGCCCTAGTTGCCGATCTCAGGTATAAAGGGTTGGTATGCCCAATGCATCACACTTTCAACTCACATCTCCACCAGCGCTTGATCATGCTGTCTCCTGTGTCTAGATTACCCTTTGGGCTCTTGCCCTGAGGGTTCCCTAACCCCTGCCTCCCTTCCTCCATGTTCCGCACTGTGTGAATACAGCTGGTACAGTCTTACAGCAGTTGATTCTAACTGCTTTGTACACAGTTGTTCTATTCACCTCCTGTGCCCCTGCTGAGACCTGGCCCACAGCAGGCACTAGGCATGTGCTGAAGTGGAAAAAAAAAGCAAAAAGCATCCCAAGCCGGTGTAAGCTGTACAAAGCAGCTCTGCACTAACCCAGCAAAACATGGAGAAGCAACTCTAACCTCTGACTTACATACCCCTGGCAACTAGGAAATTAGGAAACCAGTAACTACTTTCCACAAGTTCTGCTCAGCCTGTTCCTCCACTGAACACTAAAATTGAGATCTTCAGCCTCATAAGCAGAGTAGAAAAGCAACCAGTGGACAGCTGACACTCCCTTTGTAATTGTTGTTAGGAACGTGTGGAGACCACTACAGATGTATTAAATTCCTTTTTTCTGTTTTGTCCAACAACTAAAGGTATTACGATGACTATTTGGCAGAAGCTGGATATGACCTAAAGATGTATCAAGTGAAAGAGAAAAAATAAAAGTATGTACCTTGACTATAATTAGGTAAACTATATGCAGAAAGAAAAACTGGAAGGAAAAACCCATCTATTATACTGACATTAGGGGTTATCTTACCTTTTCTTTAATTATAATTAATTTAGGATTCAAAACCAAAACTCGTTAGAAAGAAATACATGATACTAATGGCAACTTGACAGGGAATCTATCCTGATCCAAAGATAGGAAAGGTATTGGTAGTGAGCCAGAGAGTTCCCTTATGTTAAAAGTAAACTGGCCGGCGCCGGTGGCTCACGCCTGTAATCAGCACTCTGGGAGCCGAGGCGGCGGATTGCTCGAGGTCAGGAGTTCGAAACCAGCCTGAGCAAGAGCGAGACCCCGTCTCTACTAATAAATAGAAAGAAATTAATTGGCCAACTAATATATATGAAAAATCAGCCGGCATGGGTGCTCCGCCTGTAGTCCAGCTACTCGGTAGGCTGAGGCAGCAGAACACTTGAGCCGCAGGATC